TGGAAATAACCAAGTGTCCATCAAAGATGGAATGGATAAACAAAATGTGATCCATCCATCCAATGGACTACTATTCCGTCCTAAAGACCAATGAAGCCCTGATGGATGCCACAACATGGATGTACTTCAGAAGCCTTAAGTCAGACACAAAAGGGCAAATACTGTATGATCCTGAACAGGCAAATCCGTAGAGGCAGCAGATGGGGGTTGCCAGACGGTACAGGCTGGGGGGAGCGAGCCGGTAGTTAAAGGGTGCGGTTTCCTTTTTGGGGTGATGAAAATGTTCTAAAATCGACTGTGGTGATGGCTGCACACATCTGTATTGAATTATGCACTCTGGGGTGACTGTACGGTGTGGGAATTATATCTCAATACAGTAGTTTTTGAAAGAGAGGTATGTGAACAACGTGGCCTGGAATATCCACAGAACTACAAACCGAAAAAAGAAAGACAGAAACCCCATCAAAAACCTGAGGAAGGGCATGGGCCGGCGAGTTTCCGATGGGGTCCCGAGAGGCCGACGAGATCTTCAGGAGAAGCTCCAATTGATCATTGATCGGAAAAACGCACATCCAAACGCTGGCAAGGCCCCCAGGATCCCACGGTGGCGTTGCCTGTGGCAGCTGGGATTTCTGGAGCCTGGGTGTGGGTAGCAGGGAAGGGGTGAGTGAATTTGGGGACAGCCAGTTGGGGCCACAGCACTGGAGCAAGGAGTGGACGTGTCACAGGGAGTCCAAGCAGCTCCCGTACAGGACGAGTGGGGGTGGGGGAGGAGAGGAAACCACCACTCCCCTCCCACCCCCCATCATCTCCGTCACGGTTGGCGATGACTCGGTCATTCCCACTTGGCACGCCCGCGGGAGAGACACATCGACAGAAAATGGTACTGACAGCAGGCACTGAAATCGCTCCCCTGCAAGAGCCTGGGGGTGGGGTGGGGTGGGGTGGGTGACAGCACGCAGGGGCAGTCTCTAAATTGCTCCCCCCAATTTCAAGATGAATAGATGCTGATGGGAGGTTGTCAGCAGAAACACCTTCCCCCCTCTTGTCTGGCTGCATCAGTCAGGCGCCTTTCATATCTGTGCCACCTCAAACGTCATTGCATGCCTCGTCTAGCATGCCCTTGGACACGCACCCCAGGGGCAAGTGTCCCCCTCTGCCTCCCTCCCTGCGTCTCTGTGTCTTTGGTGCTTGAGGAAGGACGTTGGACTGTACCGGGTTAGTAGAAACTGCTCGGTGCGTGCCCCCCCCAACAAGTGGCGCCCAGGGAAGGTGCCAAACCTTAGCTATGCCTCTGACCACACCACCTACTTTACTAATCTGGGGCTCCCCACCTTCAGGGCTTCACCCCAGGGGCCCTGCCTCAGCTGTGACAAGGTGGGGGCTCCTGTGCAGGTTGGGGATTGGAACTGGCTGAGGGGGGAGTGAGGCCCTGGGGACCCCACCCAGCTCTGCCCCTCCCCAAGCACGGGTAGACAAGGAAGGCCTGGCCCTCCTGCTCTGGGGGCCTGGGGGAGCTGGCGGGGGGCAGGGGGTGACAGGGCAGGTGGATCAGCCCTCCCTCCTCTGACTGACCAAGGGCCCAGCCTAGCTCCCTGACCCCTCCCAGAACTCGCCTGCTCATGACCGACCCCCCCGCCCCCACAGCACTGAGAGGCCAGGTCAGACCTTGTCAAACAAGAAGTGGGGACCTTGGAAGGTGCCTTGCCCCAAACCCAGAGAACCCAGTTAGGGGTCCCGCTGCCCCCCTCCTTCCCTCCAGCCGGCCCCTCCCAGCTGGGCCTGTCTGCCTCAGGTCCCAGGTATCAGGGGTCCCGCTGCCCCCCTCCTTCCCTCCAGCCGGCCCCTCCCAGCCGGGCCTGTCCGCCTCAGGTCCCAGGTATCAGGGGTCCCGCTGTCCCCCTCCTCAGGTCCCAGGTATGGGGCCTCCACCTCATCCTCACCTCACCTTTCCATACAGGCAGAGCCCAGGGCACTCAGGACCCGCGTCTCCCAGTTCCTATCCTGGGGCCTTGGGTTGAGCAGGGCTGCCTGGGTGGAGGCTGGGCGAGGGCTCCCGGGGAGGGTCCCAGGTGGGGCAGAGAAGGCACAGCAGCATAACATCACCTCCCCCAAAGCAACAGCCCTGGGCTTCTGGCCGTCCCCAGGATGCCTGGCCAGCCAGGCCCACTGCCTCAGTGCCAGCAATGGAGAGTAGCCCAGCCCCCTCCCCAAGGCCCAGATAGGGGGCCCATCTGCATCTGCCTAGCTTAGGGCCACCCCACAGGTCAGTGAGCACCCCAGCCCCCTCAGTTCTGTGATGTGGGAGGCCAGGGAGGAGGGAGGGAAGGGTCACGTTCTGCGGGGTCCCCTCTGATGGGCACTTCCCACCCCCTCTTCCATGGGCAGCCCCACCTTGCTTTGGGGAGCCCTGTCTGATGGGTGAGGCCCAATGGGGCTGGGGTGATCCTGGCAGATCTGGGGGTTCCTGCATCACCCTCACTTGCCAGGGGCCCCAGACTATCAACAGGCAACCTATGAGGGTACTAGCAGCCTGTGTCCCTGCCGACCACCCAGGAGGGGGCCCTCTGCCATAAGTGTGAGAGGGCGGACCCCTCCTGCCTGCCTGGGCCTCTCTCTTCCCCAGTCCCCACTACGGCCCCCCTCAGCCTCCTGCACCCACCCCCAGAGGAGCCACTCAGCTCAGCTGTGCACAGAGCAGGCAATCCCATGGGGGCTCCCCCACCGCCATTCAAGCCCAGGACACATGGGAGGGTTCCAGAGCCTCTGCACCATCGGCTGGCCCAGGCCGCCTCCCTGCAGCCCCAGGCCATAGCCTCCAACCGGTCTCAGCAGGAAGAAGCCAGGACTCTGTCTTTGGGGTGGGGTCCAATTTCCAGATGGTTCTACCCTGACAACAGGTTCTGGGCTGGCTCTGTCCTCAACAGTCTACTCCCACTGCCTTGCCATTTCCTTGAAATAAATGGCCGTTCACTGTTTTGTCCCCTTCAACTCCCCAGGCCTGTCCTTCCCCTGGGGTCGAGGGCAGGGTCTGCTTTGCTGGGCAGAGGTGGGCTTGGTTGAGTCTGGTCCCACAGTCCTCCCAGCCAGCTCTCAGCCAAACAGGAGGCTGGGGGTGGGGCTGGAGGACTCAGGCAGCCATGGCCAGACCACAGCGTGTGAGGCTTGTCCAAGGCCTCACCCCACACACCTGGGCTCTTGCTGCCCGCCAGGCCGTCCCTGAGAGCCCTGGCCCCACCATGCACCCCGCTATGCCCCCCGGCCCTGCCACATACCCTGCTACGACCCCCTGGCCCCACCACGCACCCTGCTTTGCACCCCCTGCCCCGTCATGCACCCCACCATGCACCCCAGCCCACGGATTTTCGGATTTTTGTCCCCGAAGGGCAGCCACACCCAGGACTCAGGTGCGGAGGACAGGAGGACAGTGAGGGTGTGACCTCCGTCTGGCCCACCCTGCCCACCCTGCCCCCCGCCTGGCTGGGCCCCAGCACCACTCTCTCACCCTGTGGGCCTGTGGGCTCCCCGGCCCCCCTCGGGCCCTGCCAACCCCGCAGGCGCTGAGTCAACACTTGGGTTCCTGTGTTTGCCTGAGGACACTTTGTCATCTCCGGCTGGCGCCCACCCCGCTGCGCATGTTTGCTGGAGGCGTAGGTGCCGCTTGTCACCCCGCTAATCCTGAGCAAATGGAGCAAGGGTGTTGGGGGACCGCCCTCTGCCTACGCTTGAGGCATCCTCACCCACCCCACCCCCGCTGGGCCTAGCCAGCCCCAACTCCTCACCCCGAGGGTGGCCCCCTTTACCCACCCCAGCCCCTGGCCCTGTAGGTGCCTCAGGCCATTGATCAGGGCTGGGGGAGGGAGAGGGGTTAAAGGAGGAGGGGGACAGGCCTGGACCCCCCGCCCAGTGCCTGCCAAGGACCTGGATGGGTCACAGCTCTGCCCAGAGAATAAGAGCCGCTGCCGCCCACCCCCTCAGCCTGGCCCCCTTCTGCTTTGTCCCCTCCACTTCTCCTTCCCCACTTACCCTCCCCC